TTTCCAATAGTTCTCTAACTGATATCAGCTCGTGATGAAATCCTGTAACCAATCAAATCCCTGCAAATCAACACTTGATAAAGAAAACACGTTTTGAAAACATCAGGAAGCTGTGTAAAAACACAAACTACTCATACTGTACAAAATTTTTAAAAAACAATCAATATATACATATACATATATGTTTTTCTTTTCTGTCAAATTCATTTATATATACAACATGTACAAACTTGTTTTACAAAAGTAAACGTCATCGAACAACTAGTCGTACCCACTCACGCACACGCACACACACACTACTAGACACACGCATGTGTACAAACTAATGCTCTAATTACTGGAAACAGTAACAACTGATAGCACTCCCAACAGCGACAAGACTTAAGTACTTTGACATGGTAGACTTATACAATGAATATGTTAACTAACATATTATGGTGAAATATCACAATTTTTATTATTTATCTTTGTACTGGATAACTCTACAGACACTATTTACTGTCAATAATCGGATGTCAAGCTAACTAACTCTGTAGCTGTACAATATGACATTATATTAACAACCCTTGCCTGTTTCCTTCCTCTGCTTAAACCAGGGAGGCAAGGAGGGAAGGAACACTTTAGACATCTCGAAAAATCAATGCATAATGTTTATTACTCTTTGGAGTTCCCACTAGTTGACATGCCGATGCTTTGATAAAATCTGCAAGGTAACATGGTGTTATTCGGTTGGTGGATCGGTTCCATTTTTAACGTCAAAACCATTACTCACTGTAGATGTATGTCTGTCTGTCTGTTTTCGACATAGAACTTTGCACCGATGTGCAACAGTTCAAGTCGCCACACTCCCTCTATGTACCACGCAAAGCAACAGAAGTAGAAAACATGCATAAAAGAGACAGCAAACAGAGGTGTGAGACAAAGGAGTAGTAATAACGATCAACAATATAGTTTCACTGGAAACCATAAGCAGTAGATGTATCTGCACTGGCCATTGAGAACGATTTTGAGCGTCGGTGGCACAATGGTTAGGACTCTCGACGACCATGAAGATGGTCCGGGTTCGAGCCCACACCGGCGCACACCAGATATCTATGGTCGGCCTGCGAAATTTGGGCTACCGATATCCACGCTGAAAATTCCATACTTGTACCAAAAATACAGTGTGGAATCAAGCTGTTACCAATAATTAAAAAAAATAATAATAATAATAATTGTTTCCAACCATTGGTTTTTACCGTCCCGAGGACCCCAACCGGGAAGTCTACACCTTTCTACGTGATTGGCTTAAACCGACTGTTGTGAATTTCATTGACTGGTGCCATGTTTTGATTTGACCGTCACTAGCTCTTTTTCAGCCTGACCGTATGTCAGCTAATATTGCCCGTCGAGGAAGGCGATAACTAGGCATACGTAACACATGTCCTCACCATCTCAGTCGATGTAATTTCACAGCCTCCAAGTAACGAGTCCGAGACAGGATGAAACGAATGTCCCGGACTTAAACCAAAAACACTATTTGAAATCATGGATTGTTTAGGGATTTGAATAAATTACATTGAAGATTTTCAACAGACGTCAACATCAGTTGGAGAATCAACTCGGAGAACTGCATATCTGTTTTGTCCCAGTTCGAAACTCAAGAGTCTTACAAAACCTATGACTCAAATATAAGCCTCCAGATCATCAGTAGCTACGTTGTGGATGATCTAAAGTTCTGATGAAATCAGAAACAAGTCTAGTTGCCAGATTAGTGAGAGATTTATTTATTTGTCGCGTTACAATCTTCACCTAATTTTGATTTTCGCTCGCTGAGCTGAACTTATTATTAAGCTTCCAATATTTTGTTTACGCAACAATTTTATTCTTACTTACTATACCTTTTCTATCCCTTTCATCCCTCTTCTATTAACTCTCGGACTTTGATTATAGGATGCATAAGAAAAGGCTGGATGTTTGATTATCAACTGTGCTAAGAACTATTGAATATCTTTCGACTGGAAATAATTTCAAAATGTGTTATGTATTTATATTTATTATTAATGTTGTTATCAATTCCTTGCCTTCCATATGAAAAGTAGGGCTTCAGTGGCATATCTGCATTCCACTCAGTTCTCTGCTATTGTAACGACAGAAGACAAAATACTCGGTGTAGGAATGTTTATTTGGAATTCCGTATCTCTATATAACGAAATTGTGTACACCTTATATGATCTTCTCTGTGTTGTGCTACTTCTTTTCTTCGTATTGTGTTTCTTTATCTTCGTTTCGTGTCTCCCATGTTTTGTTACAACGCTGGTTTATTTGCTCTTCTCTTTGATGTCAAATCTATCTCTCTTCTATTTGATAATTCTATACCGATGAATGTTACTTTATACACTACTAATAAATCTTATCAGTAGCACATGCCATACCACTACTTCCACAAAGCTTTGACAATTGCTCACAAGATTTCACTTTCTCACCATATGTCATCGTCTTCATGTCACCCTCAGACCTACACCAAACTCTTCGACTACCACTTGGGTTCTAGTTGAGGAAGACTGGCGTGTGATATCACTTGATTAGTTACATTTATAAGGGCTTATTTGAGCTTTAATCCATTAGAGCAGCTGAAGAAAAGCCATGAAATAATAGTAATTGTTATTAACTCATCATACAAACATTTATTGATTCTTACATTGTTCAAATGCCTATTTCATTTTATTTTTTAAGCGATTTATGTAATAACTATCAATAACTGTCGACTACCCAATCAGTGCGTCAAGGGTTCGAACCTTAATCCAACTACCGAGATTTGGATAACTGAATTGCTGACGCAATCACAGCGCGGATATAAAAGGCCAGTGTGGCACTTGGCAACTTACATTATCTCTGACTTACGATCAAAGGACGTGCATACTACACAGCAGTTCCCCCACTGTCCTGCTTTATGAATGTGAGACATGATTACTGGAAGTGAAAGATGTGAAGAAGCTAGTTGTCTTTAAAAATACGTATTTTTGTTATATCTCCCGTGTTATAACACGATGAGTAATGTTGAAGTTAGGCGTAGAGTGCTAAATAAAGAAGCGGAGTCAATTGATGAGGTTATGAGGCTACATCTATTAAGGTCATCGCCTTCCTTGACAAGCAATATTGGATGACATAAGGTTGGGTTGGAAAAGAGTTAGCGGTGATTAAATCAAAGATTTCATGGTGCGAATCCATGAAGTCTTTGACAGTTGCTTTTAACCAGTCATGAAGGAAGGTGTAGAGACTGTAAGGCTGTTGCCCTTAGGGTTCTAAGAACCAATAGCTTGAAACTATTGGTGATATGGCTGAGAATCATTCTCAATGGTGAAGATGCATTCACCCTTTGAAACCTCCTGTATCGATTATACCCTCATGTTCTTCCATATGACAATTCTTTCTACAACATTTTTCTGCTCATTATCTTTCTTTCGGATATCTTTTTTCTGTATCTTTGTGTGGTAAATAGAGTGTGGCGACTTGAATTGTAGCACTTCTGTTCATAGTTCTATACTGAAACTCAATCAGTTAGTAGTGTTACCAGACCTCACACACGCACACACAATAGGTGTGGCGACTCATTCTAAACTGCATGAAATCGCAAGTAGTGTGTCGCTTAGCACTTTACCTAAACTGATTCCTTTTGCAAACGAAAAATTGTTCAAAATGTAGCAAAACAAGTTAAAAAAACAACATACCGCCACCAATCTGTCTTGATGTCATTTATAGGTGCCAAACACACTACATACATAATATAAAACTGCCTAACATCAAAACCTATAATAAAACAAATCTAACTGACGCCTAAAATCTTTACTTAACTAAAACAACAAGAGATAAGCAGTATACGCTGACGACAATGAAAATTTAGAAAAAAAAAGGAGACGGAATACTATTCATACAAAACGCAACAACATATTGATATTCACACACACAAAAAAACAAAGTTAAATACCACTTCTTGGTGGAATGGTAAAACATAATCACAATATTCAATGAGTTTGTTCAATAGATAACTAAACATGGTGGATGATGATACCATATTAATAGTACTGGATGGTTTTTCGAGCACAATTTAGTGTCTATAGTCACATCTTAATTGGCTTTATGCACTACTACTTAAGCCTGTCTTAATTTTTTTTTAATTCCAGGAATAATTTGGTGGATGGTGAGGAACAACGAAATCCACCAGGATACGCATTTCATCCCACTTGAGACTCGTTATCTGGATGTACCTGCATTTCCTAGTGAGTGATGCTGTTTCGACTAAGGCTTGCATCCAGTACACCAAGGCGTTATCCACTAGACCACTCGGGCCACGACAGCTACCTCTTTTGCGACGGGACTTTCCCATTGACTGACTGTACCAAAGTGCTTGTTGTGCAAGATGTGGTTCAAGTGTTCTAGTGGATAACACTTTGGTATTCGAAACTATGAGTATTGGGTTCGAGAGCCTCAGTGGGAACAGCATCACTCACTGGGGAAGGTACATCCAGATGACGAGTCCCAAGTAGAAAGAAACGCACACACTGGTGGGTTCTACTACTAGTCACCATCTACCAAATTACTCTTCAGACATCATCGAGGCATTCGCACAAGGATGTCAATAAAGGCGGAGCACTTTGGTCCAATCAATCAACGGGAAAGTCTAAATTGAATTAAATAATATCCCGGACGAATAAAGCGTCATTATTATTGCATGTTCTGGTTGCTGATTCAACGAACAAAGATGCAGTGATCAACGTCTCTCTCCCCCCTAACTATATAACGTTTTATATGAAACTAGCAATTCACAATTTACACAGCATAAATACATGACTCAATATGCTACTGATTGGCTGAGATGAGCAATTTCAAATCGCTCATCTCAATCAATAGTGCTTGCTTGAGAGATTGAGGTGGTCTAAACACATGATAGCGGTTTCGCTTATTTGAGTCCAAGCTTATCAACCGTGTACCCGTATATATATATTTCAATCTTAACTTACCGAAATTGAGACTGTGGAATTTGTGATTGTGTATTCATGACAGCCGATCGACTACTGCAGTGTGTCATTCCATTATTTTCACCCATATTTGATTGTGCTGAACCGATTCTTGTTTCATGTACAGTATACTAAAATAATATAGAGCAATACAAAAACATAATATATGGTTAATTAGTTGATTAAAAGAAGGGTGAGGGCGAAGGGAAAAGAAAAAAGGCAAAAAAGGGATGAACACAATACAAAATAGTCGTAAAATGAATCACTTTTGTTTTAAAAGAATCAATCTTTGGTTTAGCTGAAAAAATTTCACAACAAGAAAAACTAGAGTAACCTTTTGTGGTTCTAATGTATGTGTGTATTTGTCACTCTTCCAACGGTATAATGCTCACCAGCCACATTAGTGGCACAGGTTAGATTCTCAGTAGATACACTCCTAAACCTTGCGTAATCTATTAGCCAGTAGGAAGCCTGGAGAACAGGAGATTGAATGTGAGTTCAACAATCCCACCCCGTTAGTTAGAAGTCGATCGCTACCTGGTAGCGGGTTATGAGCTATGCTATTTTTGTAAGGGATGGTGATATTATCCTGTTGCCAAAGCTGAAGCAGGTAGTGATTTCTGAACCCAAAATCTACTATTCAAGCCAATCCGGCTACAACTCCACACCTTACTCTGTAAAACAGCATTACTGAGACGCAAAAATTTGAAGCTCTGTGCCTTACGATCGCAAAAACAACTTCATGACTACTGGATATATCGTCCTCATAAAGGATTTATAGAAAAAAACAATTATAAGCCGCTTCAACAAAACAAAACAAGGTGTATATTAGCAAACAAGAGGATATAAGAAGGAATTATAGTCATTACCACCTGGAATAGGTTTTTCATGTACCAGGTTTATGAGAAAAAATTAATTTATGGGAGTTGATGTTACTACTCAGTTGTCCACAGAGTGATACAGTTGAGACAGGATTCGAGGCAGGGATACATTGGCTGAATTCTTAGTGTTTACACCGATCCTGCCTAACAACCACTTGGAATTCCATGAAGTTGGGAATGAGCCGCCACATCTATTGTGTGTGTGAGGACTAGTGACACTGTAACAACAGAAGGCAAGACACGGAAGCCAAGGTATACTTTTCATTAATCAAACCACTGTTCACATATCTACAGTTTACATTCGTTAACCAATCACTGACCGTGTGATTTCGGTCTACATCAAACAACATGAAAGAGAAGGTTCAAATATACTGCAGTATTCTGTTGTTAATGCAGTACATAATCGTGGAAAAAGTATTCTGACTCATTAATAAGAATGTTCAAATAGATATATTGTATTCTGTTGTTAATGCCGGATTGAACTGTGGGAAAATGTGAGGATAACATTCCGTTGGCACACACTGTCTGGATCACACCACCACAATACTACTTGGTTGAGCAAACCTCAATAGGTAGAGAGGTGTGTTGAGAGCTGTCTGCAAGAAAAAATTGTAGATACGAATTTACGTCGATGCTTACATCCCGAATCGGGGTCATGAGAAAAAAGCAATAACAAAGCCTAACCTTGAGGAACTCAACAACCAATCACAGCAGACTTAGCGTGTGTAAATACGATTCGCAGATATATGGTCTCATCATCAAAGAAACGGCCACGAAGAGATGACAAAATAATTTTCAGCGAGAAAACAACCAATCAGAAGGCGCCGTTTCTCTGCTAACAATAACCTATCATGATGTACATAAAAATATATAAATATCTCTTGATCTTCTCAATAAACGATCTGTTGCCTGACCCTTGTCTTCTGTCGTTGCACAATTGCTGAGCTTTTCTCTAAATTAGTTATCTTCTAGGGGTCAACCATTCTTACCTTAGCTAAATTATGTTCATCGAGTCTACACCCAACACATGCAATAGGAATGACTCATCACTCAGACGGAAATATGGAAAGCACTACTGTGGTGAGCTGGCTGTTAGTCAAAATTGGTGGACAGTAATTTACGTCAACGTTTATGTCCCCAATATTGATCGTGAGAAAAATGAGAACAAAGGTTTTGCGTAGGCGGATAGAGTTAACATATAGATGATCTGACATTCAAGAAAAAGTCACAAAGAGATGCACGGTTAACTTTCTGTGAGAAACAAGCAATCAGAAGACTGTGTTTTTCTGCTAACAATAATCTATAATATGTACATGAAAATCTATAAATATATGTTGATTTCCTTAATAAACGATCTGTTTCCTGGCTCTTGTCTTCTGTTGTTACACTACTGCCAATCAAGTCAAGCAATGGAAAATAATGGAATTATACAAAACGAAATTAGAAAGTTGTGCGAGTAGCTTGATATGATTATGAGTGGCTATAAATTGTGCTCGAAACGTCATCAGTAAATATTAATGTATAACACTGTGAGACTTTAGCAAAATAAATTTTACCCATAATGGAATTATACTCTACCACAGTGCATAAGTTTCATTCTTATATCAGTAATATCAGTAAGATAACTATTGAAAAATCAAAGAGCGCTGGACAACTGTTTCGTCACACATTAGGACTTTTCGGCATGACTCCACCACGAATCTATTCTCCAGCTAATTAGGGGTTACTGGGAGGATATCCTAAAGTTCTAATGAAGAGTTGTTATCAGTAAGGTCCACCATATCAGGATGAAATGAATGGTTATCGATCAAATTGGTCAGCGGTAGCATTGTATCGCCAATCAACTGAAGTTAGAATTCATGAGTTATCTAACTCTTACCCAGTTGGTGAATGGCTAACGGCCTAGCTGTGTAACCTGAAGTTCCTAGATTCGATTCCTGGTAAGCAGGGTGGAGTGATGAGTGTGCATTCCTGAAGAGTCCCAAACTAGGACAGTACTTCCTGGTTTTCAATGATTCTCTAATTGATACTGGCTCATGACGACATCCACACTGAAGTACATCAATAAACAAAAATCTATCCGGTTGCAATAACCTACAAAATCATAACCACTTGTGGATACAAAAGGTTCAATATTCGAAAGAATAAATCGGGTTGAAGATAGATAGACAGACAAACAACCAGACAGACAGACATTATTAACACATGACTTGCGATTACTTGTATAGTAGTCAATAACGCCTCACTATCTCATATCTGAACGCCAAAAGACATGAAAATGATACAATTAGATTATGGGAAAAAAAAGGAGAGAAAATAAAGCGAGAATTTTAGAAAAAACTGTGGTAGAATGAACGAAAATGATTTGGATACATAAGTATCACTAGTATTGATTCTCAGACCAATCACCACTAAATGTTTACAAATATAGTTTCGGATGGGTAGGATATCTGGGCTACGCGTGCTAAACCATTACTCAAATCATTGAGTAATGGCCAACTAAAATAGCAATAGGTTGAAAAAGAGTTAGGAGTAGTCATATGAAAAGGTTTAGATTGGCTGACTGGAGTCCTCAAGACTCTAGGAAATAAATGGCTCTACACTGCTGAGAATGACGCTGATACGGCTGAAAATCGTTCTCAATGATGGTGGGGGGGGGGGGGGGAAAGGGCTGATGCATTGACTCTTTGTGATCTCCAAGATCTATGAAGTTATGAATATTCTCTATGTAGTTATTACTTCGCCTGTAAAGATCCGTTTGTCATGTTTTCGTTGTATTTCTTTTTTCCGCACCCTTTATATCTGCATTTATGACGAGTGACCTATATGAACTGTCCCTGAACTGAATTTTCAACGTAGATCTTAGCACAAAAGTAGAACATTTCAAGTTATCAATACTTCATAAAAGTGCACAAAAATCTAAAGGGGAAAAACAAATAATCAATTGGAAATTTACGGGAGAAGGAATCATTACATTCAGAATGATAACAATGTAATGAATCTTGACCGTGTAGCAATTTGAAAACTGCTTAAGCACCATAGAATGCAGTGCTCCAAACCTTTATCAACCTCATTCAACATGTCTATATGACGATGCCAAGTGTCAAATGATCCACAACGAAAAGCTCGGTGAAGCCTTTGAAGTGAAGATAGAACGGAGTAAGGCACGGCTACCTACTATATCATTAATGATATTCTCTTGATTGTGATGGACTGGATTATGCCATAGACCGTGGGGAGCGAGAAGACTGGAATACATTGGACCTATAAGAAGACTCTAGAGGATGTGGACTTCGCGGATGATTTATGTCTGTCATATAAAGTCGAAGACTTACAGGGGAAAACCAACAAGTTTTCAGAAAAAGAAGAAGCAAAGACAGAATTTCCAATGAACATGGAGAAGACAGAGATGACGAAGATAACCAACCAACACACCAATTACTGTAAACAGAATTTTGAAGGAGGTCGTTTCTTACACTTACATAGGCAGAATCGTTTCAACCCACAGGCGGTACGGATGAAGATCACAATTGTTGTTTAGCTTCAAAAACCGGGAAATATGCCGTATAGATACGGTCGACATAGAACTAGAAAGCCTTCGCACAACTCTCTTATATGATGGATATCCTAAAAACTTTATCGACAGAAACATCAAGAGAGAAACCATCCCCAGCGAAATCACAGTGCCAAAGAAGACACTGTTCATGAATTTGGTGTTCAAACGTGATACTATTTCTGAAGTAATTAAAAGTCGTTTTTCTAAATGTATTAAACGGTGTTTTTATGCGGCTAACTTACATTTAGTATTTACTAGCCGAAATATGATTCGACAATGCGTCAAGGATAAACTACCGCTTACGTCCACCTCTATGTGCTCATAAACTTTCACATGCTTGTGTGGAGCTGATTACATTGTACGTTGTAAGCGTGTTCTCCGTAAACGAGTAGCTGAACACTACCCTTTTTGGTTAATGAAGGGTGAGCAAAGGACAACAAAGTCTACAATTTGTGAACACCTTGTGGGGTCAGGTCATTCAGACCCACGTGATTTATCCTTTAAAGTTAACTACAGGACCAAATTAAATCACTCCCAAAGCTTACGTTTTCTCCGCTTATGCATAGCTGAAGCCCCAGCTATACATGGGCAAAAACCTAAATTCTGTATTCAGAAACATTTTGTTAAACCCCTTTCCTTTTCTTAGTCATAGTTATGTTCTTTTATTTTATTCTATTTTACCACTCGAATTCAT